CGGGCCCGGCGCGAGGCGCTGCGAGGGCCGCCGCCACTGCCGCCTCCTCCTGCGCCGGAGCCGCCATGGAGCAGCAGCGCTGGCTGCCCCTCGAGGCCAACCCCGACGTGAGTACCCGCCGCGGCGGCGGGAGGGCGGCCGAGGGGCTGGGAGCCGGCCCCGTCCCTGCGCGGCCGGCGGTGCCTAACGCCCCTCTCTGCTTCCCCGCAGGTCACGAACCAGGTAAGCGGCCCTGCCCGCCGCTCTTGGCCGCCCGCCGGCAGCCGCACGTACGTAGCGCGGGGCCGGGCCCGCGGCGGCGGCGGGGCGGCCTGGGCCGTGCCCGGGCGCAGCCCCCGAGCCCGCCCGAGGCCCGCGACCCCCGGGCGGCCCTGCGTGTTGTGCGGGGGGACGGCGCGTCCTGGCGCGGGCCCGCCCCGCCGCTCGCCCCGGGCAGCGGCCGCCCCGTCCGGCCTGAGGAGGAGGCCTGGTGTCACCCTAGTACAAACCATAGGCTAGGGAACGTGTTCTGAGCACAACAGCGCAAGGTAAGCTCTGCCTTCAACACAATAACGTGTCCCCCAGCCCCGCGTTACGCTCCCRGTGCTAGTTTTGTCCTCAGAGGTCAGTCTGAATCCAGTGGGCCTCTTGGAGCTGTTAAGAACGCCTGAGCCCAAAGAGTCTAATGTCCCCAGCGCTAAAATGACATTCCTGGAACTCCTAGGCGGCCGAGATGTTCTGGAGATTAGGAGTTTGCTTAGGAATTTGCGTGTGTTGGAATAATACATTTTGTTGTTGTTTCTACTACAGTAGCTGAGCCTGCAGGAGAGGGAAGGGTTGTTTGTTACTGGGTCACTGTTCGTTTTGCAGTTCTTGCAGTGTTGCTGCCACGGAGCAACTTGGAAAGACTTCGGTCCTGGCTCTGAGTTGAAAGAAACACCCGCAAACACCCGATTTTTAACGGGGAGTAGTCTATAAATCCCTCATGTTTGCCAGTAGGGTGTAATAACTCGAAATTTGAAGATTAAATTCCAACTTGGAGAAGAATAGGTGTGAATAAGTCTATAGTTGCATTTCAGATCTTCTAGCTCTTGAAATGTGCTCAGCACGATACAAAAAAAAAAAAAAAAAAAAAAGCCTTATAAACTGTAGAGTAGAAGGTGGGGAGAAAATGTATTTTAAATCAATCAATAGCATTATCCTGTGTCATTACAGGCTTATGTTCATTTACCTTCTAAGTATTTCCTCTGTATAACAGTTTTAAGAGTGTTCAGAACCTGTGTCTCTTGCCTCCTGTTTGAAGGTAGATGATACCTGGATAATGGGAACTTCCACTCTGTAGCGGCTTTTTCATTAATATTTCACTTCAGAAAATACAGATTTAGGTCAGTTAGACTTCATCTGGTGCATTTTACCATTTTCTGAGCAGGAGTTGTAGTTAGTATCTAGAATGATAAGTTCTAAAAAGCCTTTGTGAATACACTCTGTCTTATTAGTAATTGCTCTTTAGTCTCATAAAAATAATGGTTACCTGGCCAACAGCAGGGCTGTTAGTCAGCAGTTACTCAGATCTTATGTGTCATGTAATCATTTGAGATTTAAATGGAGCTATAAGCATACAAAAAAAAATGTTGAGTTGGTTACAAGGATTGACTTTACAATACCCTGTAGTGAAGTGAGATATGAAGAAYTTTTCAGGATAAGAAATTAGGATATGCTCCTAATGGATGTAGTGCGTGTATCTCAGTAACTTCATATGTGTATCTCATTAATTGTGCAGATCTCTATTCACTTTTCTTTTACAGTTGGGTATTAAAGCGTCCTTAGAACAGCATGTTGGATATGGTYTTTATATTGCTATTGGTTGTATATCTACTAGCTTTTAAAACCAACACAATCATATACAAGAAGCAAGAATTCCTTAGCTCTAAGATATAATGATATAAACTTAGAATTTAACAACCCTTAGACTGTTTTGGTTATTCTATCGATTATTTCATTTTATTTTTAAAGTAAATCAAAAGGGAAAGCTGCTAAAGACATTTCATAACGAGGACAAGTCCTGTGCTAAGAACATATTAAGAGCAAATGAGCATATGTGTTGTCAAATTGAGACTCACTCAGTCTATATGGTAGAAACTCAAATGCTAATAACAAATGTGAAAAGTCAGTATTCCCTAGTTTAGGCACAAGACTGTTTAGGTGTGAATTTCCAAAATACCTTAAGCCTTTCTCTATCTGCTGAAAATAGTTTTTATTATAATTCAAGTCTAGGAGTTACTAGTTTCTTAGTGCATAAGATCTCTGTTGGTGYATTAGAATTATTTGTGCATTTAGAAATGGCCTGGTGAGGGTAAATAAAAATACTCCTAGCACTAAAGATTTCCGATTGCCATGACTTGCTGAGGACAGCACCACCACTTATCTATAGTGATCTGGAGAAGTCAGCACATTCAAGTGTACCATAAAATGCTTGCTTGGTGCTGTTACAGTGATCTTCTCTTAATTGTTATCAGGACATTGTTAGTCTAGCCGTGGTGTACAAACAGGTGATAATTCAGTGTGCACAGAGCTCCGGTTGCACACAGTGATTCCGTGGTGATGTGGGAAATGGGCTGCTTCTGTTCATGATCTGCTCCAGGAAATGACCTTACTTGCTGCTGAAGGTACCGTGTGGACACCTGCCTTGTTGTAGCCAGAGAGGCTAAAATAATTCCTGGAGCCTGACGAGGTAGCTCCAGTACTGGCCACAGGTTAATCTAGGACTAAGCTGCTTGGCTTATTTGGCAGCCAGTTGGCTGTGGCTTGGGTGGCTGTCATTGTGTAAGGCTTGAGAACTAGTTTCTAGTTGCCTTCCACCATTATTCTCAGGCCTTTGATCCTGCTCTTCATATAACTGATTCTCAGCGCATTGATGGCTTAAACTAGTTTTGATGCRTGGATCCCCTTGACAACTGTGACTTTGGGGGACAATAAAGATCATAGCATAGAAGAAAACAGCAGGCACTTGGCCCAGCCAGTCTTCATCCAGTTGTGCTCAGGAGTGTCAGGTAAATATGGTCATTAACTGTCTTGATTACATTAACTTCAGTCTTCCTAAAAGAAATGTCCCTTTTATCAACTGTTGGCGGCACTAGCTTTCCTAGAGGAAAACCYGACCAACCAAAGCCAGGAGCCTGTTCTGAAAAGGCAGTGACAGGGATTCGGGGAGCACATTGGTGGTAGTGGTTGTCTTAGGTGAACCATTGCATTGGAGAGGGAGGGTGTCTACTGTGAAGAAACTGAAGGAATCTTCTGAAAATGCTTAGCTAAACTGTTTTTATTTATCTGAAAGAAAAGCTCTAAGTTTCCTGTAAGCAAAGCTGCAATATTGGAGAATTTGGAAGCCAGTTATTAGGGGTATAACCTCCGCAAGTAGAAGACTAAGACTCAGCTTGGGCTTTTCTATAATGAATCTTTTCCATGGAGTCAGCTAAGGGGAAGTGTTGAGGCTGTGTCACTAAAAGCAAAGAACAGAAGATTATAAACACAAGGACAAATATGAAGGTGGATTTATAGACATATCAGCCACAAGATCGATTGTTGAATAACTTCTTCTAATTTGAAATATCTCAAGCTACTGAGATAGCATGGCTAATCTGCACAGGGAAAATTATAGCTTGTGTTGGAGTTTAGAGTATTAATTTCCTGAATAGTAGAAAGACAAACCTGTAGGTTTGTCTTGGTGTGCTCYTCAGTTACTGAAAATCGAGGAAAGCATGCATTTCATCCCTTCATAGGCAATTGCTGTTGTTAGCCTTTTATTCTGCTTAGTTTGCTTCTTTTTTTCCTGTTTCAGTCAAATAACTYGAAAAATGTAAGAAGGACACTTACTGGTAGGAACTGAAGTACCTCTTGGCAGACAAGGATAAATGGGTCTGTTTAATGAGTAACGACAAATGCTGTRCTGTTTGGTGGAAAACAAGTGATAGTGGTTAGTGTGATAAATTACCTAGTTTCATTTAATAGCATGGCAGAAAAGACAAAATTTTCAGTTCCCTCTTTGACCTATAGCAGTGATGTGATCAGTATAACAAGTGGATTCTACATGTTGTTTACAGTGTACTAAAATAACTGCTCATCCAAAAGAGTGGATTGGTGAGGCCCATTATTTAGGGTATTTAGATAATACAAACAAGTTGCTTGATGCTTTTTTAACGCTGTAACGTGGTGTCTTATTATGAATTGCTTACAAGATAGCACCTTTTCATTTAATCTGCAGCTTGTACTCACAAGAAGCAGTTTCAGAAAAGGCCTGAATGGCCTTGGCTAGTCCAACTTCGTGTGCTTTGCATCCCCATCTCTGTGATGATCTGTCCATGTTTAATACACGGATTTAACATGATATTAAGATTTGCACACGGTATTAAGGTTTGCGACTGCTTGATGGATATTGATAGATTCAGAGATACCTGTATCTATAACCACAAATCTTGCTCTTCTTAGATGCAGTGAATAAATTAACAGAACTGGGTAAGGGTAAAGATTGTGTTTGGAAAACTTCCCATACTTCAGTGGAAGCGTTCTTTTGTGCTTTTTCCACTTCAAACTGAGAGAAGAAAAGGTAATGGGAAATGGGTTTTATTCCTTTAACCTTTTCTGCAAGATCTCTGAGTGTGAGGTTGGAAGATATTAAAGAGTTTTTTGATAGGTAAGTTAAACAGTTGGCTTCAGTGTCAACCCCTGATGGCTGTCACTGCCAGTTGGACTTGACAGTGCTGATTATCACTCTTTGAACCTGAGAGCCCAGGCAGTTTTCTGCCTGTGTCACACTGGGACCCAGCTCATGTTCTCCAGCTGGGCGAGAAGGATGGTCAGGGCGCTGTGTTGGAGCCCTTGCTAAGGTCCTTGTTGCTGCTCCCCTCCTTACCCAYGCATTGCAGAAAACCTGCAGGTCAGTTAGGCAGGAGCCCCACTGTGTGCTGTACACACACACACATGCTGCTGGTTGTCCCCCTTGGCCTTCCTGGTCTCCATGTGCTTGGAAGTAACTTCAGGACACTGGGCTCTGCAACCTCCCCCGGGATGGAGGTGAGGCCAGCCTGGATCCTCCTCCTTGCCCTTCTTGGCTGTGAGGTTTTTCCAGTCTTCAGCAGTTCCCTGGATCGATCRCTGTGACCTTTCAAAGCAGACTTGCAAAGGCAGCAGCCACCACCCTTGGATCCAAGAGGATGTATCCTGTCTTTTCCCATGGATTTAACTAGGTCCGATTAGCTTAAGTACTTGCGAACTCCATCTTCCCACGCCTGTTTTATCTTTCCTAATCACATTCCAGCATACTTAAGCAGTACTTGTGTATGCCTTATGGGTAGTCCCTCCCTCGCTCAGTCTTCTGTACTTTGAATTTAAGATCAAGCAAGAGCTGTCCTGTTGATCCTGCTGGCCTTTGGTCACAGCCACTTGGCTTTCTGCTATTGCAGGAGGCTGCTTTGAGGAGGCTGTCCTACAAGATTGGGCTCCAGCCCTGAGCCTGTTTGTTCTGACACTCTCCCATGAGATTTTTGTGAGTCGGATCCACAAATATTTCAAAATTCTTGTTCTAAGATTGTCCTAAGTCTAGAGCCGTGAAGTTTCCAATTTCTCTAACCCATTTCATTCAGGTTTTCAGACTGCACAATCTCATGATCAGAGCAGTCATGGCTGCTCTCGGCCTCCATGACTTTGACCAGTTCCTCCTTATTTGTGAACAGTTTAATGCTATTTGCATTAAGTTGCTAATGCAATTTGAGAAGCTCTTGCTCTTATCAGGCAATTTTAAAATATAGGGGGAWCCTGCTTTACAATTTGTCTGCTTGAAAACTGGGCCCACCAGCATGGGCCTGCCACCACAAAGGGTCCTGTGTTCTTTAGCATATCTGCTAATGGGCATAGTTCCAGCTCGAGGGTAATGGATAGTGAAGCAACTGTGAACACTTTCACAAAAATGTTTTTCAAGAAGATAGTTTAATAGAACAGCAAAGGAGATAAGAGAATATATGGCTACAATTGGTAAACATAAAATTTGGCAAAAGTTACTAAGATAAACAAATGTGCATTGATTTTTGTGACCAAGTATCTTTTTTAGTTATGTCTTTTAGCCCTCCCTTCATGTTAATTCAAAATAATGAACAAGAGGATAACAAAATGTATAACCATTTAACTGAAAAAGAGCAAATGGAGAAGAAAAATAGTTATTTCATCTTAAGCTGACAAGTAGTAAAAGCAGTTGCGAGTCTACCAGATAGAGTAAAAGTGCCCCCAAGTGCCCTGCCTGCAAAGATCTGTAGAGTAGAATTACTTGCRAAATCACTGGATACTTGGGTTGCAAAGCAGCAAAAGTCCCTCAGTTTGCATGGCAGTGTCTCAAAAGCAGACAGAGTTGTCTGCTGGTCTGGAGCAGGGCTGCTTTGGTCGATGCAGAGGTGCTTGCTTCACCTCTTGCTGCWTAACTGACTGCATTTTGCACCAGCTGCTCCGGCTGGCCTAGGAGAGAGCTGTGAGAGGACTGAAGGAGGGACAAGTAGGTTTGAGTTAGTTATAACTAAAGTACTCGCATAGCTGAAGCTGTTTAGGACATCCCTATTCCGAGCTGTCTGTGTCACGTCTATTACAAAGGCAGTTTGGGCTCTCAAAACTTCGTCTGGTTGTTAACTCCATGCTTTCCCATCACCAGCATTTTTTCCTGCCTTGCTTCTATCCATCTAAAATACAGTTGCAAAAGATGAGTTTTCTGTCTGTGACTTGGAGCCACTGTTTTCTTTGCACATGTCTACATAAAAAAAAAAAAAAATTATAAAAAGCTACTTGTCTTTGTTTTGAGGGATTTTTCCCACCAGTCTTTCCCACCCTGCCACCTCCTATTCATCTGTTTACCACCTGGCAATCTAACCTCCTACATAAGTTTTTATCTTCACATTCGATTTTCAGACAGGCATCTCTGTCTGTTTTCCCAAGCTTGGGTGAAACCCTCTTACTGTCTTCAGGTTTCCTTAAAAATCCGTGGTTTTTTTTTTTGTTTGTTTGTTTATTTTTTTTTATGTTTCTGCAGTGAAATTTTGGCCTTGCTGGTTTGTCGAGCCCGCTGCCTACTCTCCTGTTAAGCCTTGTTGTTGCTTCTTCTAGCCATCTCTTAGAGCCAACTCATGATATATTGAAATGTTTAACCTCTTAGTTTGTACAGTTCCTAGGTGCTGTGGTAATGGGAGTATCAAAAGCTCTTTCTGTGAAACTTTCTCCTTGTTTAATTCTCCCTTATTTGCCCTGGGTTTTGGTCTCACCTTGTGCAGGGTAAGAGGGAAAGCAGTAGAACGGTGAAATATTGGGTTTTATTTTGTTGTTTTACCCTTTCCTTGAAAGACTGGCTTAATTCTCTTTGTAATAAGCCCGGTAGTATCTATATTTCCTGGTATCCTGCCCCCTTGTAAAAGCTATTCCTAAATGTTGCTGATTAAAACTGTGCTCATTCCTTTTGAATGCACGTGCTTCATACATTCACCTCTATATGCCTTTTGTCAACAACCCAAGATGAAATTGGAAATTGGTATTTGAATGAGTCTCATGTTTGAAATAGATGCTTTTGTAGTTTACTTTATTAAAACTTTCATTTGGGGTAAGTAGATCTAGGTAAAATACCAAAAGTTGATTCCTCTTCCAACACATACTAGTATGTACAGGTAGCTCTACCAGTATAAGGTGTTACCAGGTAGTCATGGAGTCAAAAACTRTCATAAGCTTATTCACATATATCCTGGCTCACAATTACTGTTGAAGTTCATATTTAGTATTCTTCTATATTGATTTAAAAAAAAAGAAAAAAGGAGAAAAAAAAAAAACCACTAAAACAAAAACCCACCACTTTCAGAGTGGTTGGAATGCTTTAATGCTCGATAAATGGTGTTGGGGATAATTTCATATCCSTTTCACTTAGCTGTCTAAACAGATTAGGCATAGSAGTTTTATACATCTTTGTGAACATTAATTTTATTTAGTGTGTCTTAGTTTAAAATAAAATTTAATGTTTTAATGTTTTTAATTAAAAATGAATCTCATTCTTTTTTTGGGTTGGTGTAAAATCTGTACTGTTGCAGTGTATTTAATCTTGAAGCTATGCCCTTATGCTTCTGAAAAGATYGGCTTATCACCACGTAATTTATTTTGTTTATTTATATTTCTRTATTTCTTTTTTCTTTCCCAGTTTCTGAAACAGTTAGGTATGCATCCTGACTGGCAGTTTGTAGATGTTTATGGTATGGAACCAGAACTGCTTAGCATGGTGCCGAGACCTGTCTGTGCTGTGCTGCTTCTCTTTCCGGTAACAGAAAAGGTAAATGGTTGTTTAATAATCAGTGAATCACTTTTTCTTCACTGTCATAATAGAATCAAAGACAGATTGAGACCTTATATAGAGGCTTAACTAATAYACTAATCCTTCCAGAACTGTTCTTTTGACAAGCTTGTTTGCATATTGCCAGTTTCTTTTAGGGTATTCTAGTTAGAGTAGGAAAAATTTAACACAGGAGCAAAGAACATACGGCTCATACCTTGCTCTTTTAAACAATTTAAAGATAGACAATTTCAACAGTTTCATTTTTTTTAATAACTGCACTATTAAGTGGCATAYTTTTTCTGTTTTCAGAAGGAAGCTACAGTAATGTAAGGAAAATATGCATATACTAAATGCAGCTACATTTTTTTTCTTAGTTAATTTTTGGGGGCGGATTTTGGCACTGTTGCACTGATCAAACCTCAGCCCATTTTTAGTTCATCATTAGTACCAGTGTGGCTTTGGCTTCTTTGACATGGGGCATATTTCTAACGTAAAAGTGTTTATATTTTCTTGCTGCTCTTCTCCTTCCGACTGCTTGTGCTCTTTCAAAGAGAAAAAATAAGTTTCCATGTGTTAGGCAGGAATYTGAAATATCTTTATTTAGTTAAGACTTTAAGTTTGCTTATTCTGTGCAGTTATGTATTTCTATATAAAGATGATATGCATCTCTTCATTGAAAGCTAGATGGCTAGAGATTACAATTTGCTGTTCATATTGATCTCTTAGCTTGTAAAAGTCTTAGGACATTGTGGAAAGACCCAAGTCAGCCAAAAAATTTGAGGTCAGTTTTCTTCAGCTTCCTCCTTTTAGTGTTCCCCTGGAAGAACAGATGTTTCTTTGTGTATCTGTTTGTCCCTATGTATATTCACGTGCGTTTGTCCCTTACAAGATGAGCACCAGCTTAGCCGCCTTATGACCTTGAAGCCTTGTCCAAATCCTTCACACAGGTGGTCCCTCTCAGGCTCRGTTTCAGCCAGCTCGATGGCATGATGGACATAAATGCTGCTCTCAGATATACAGCAACTCTTTAGCATGGAAGCTGGACTTTCCTGTTAAACTTCTGTGTTCTTAAACTTATTTTGCTCAGTGTAAACTGCAAGAGTTGAGAACTGTTTGGAGTACTCAGATTTTTGGAGTATTGCCTCCCTCTTCCATTGCCCTTCCAATATTGTCTGTCATATTGTGCTTGTATATTMACTTATTGTTTATTTTTTGCCTAGGCTTATGAAATCATACCTCTAATTTTTCTGTCTCTGTAAATGTTATTCTATCATATTTTTGTTCCTGTGTCTAGAAACTCCCCTTATTTTTCTGTCCTTCTTGTGTATCGGTTCACTTGAACTTGCTTTCAGGTTTAGATACGAGTCATCTGTGCACATCTGGTCCAGGTAAAGGTTAGTGACTTGCTTAGTTTGTATCATAGCTTCTGAACAGACTGAGCACCGTGTGTGGTGGGAGCTTTGGGTAGGATCTACCAAACACATCTCATGAGAGAACCTCCAGATGTCCTTTCCAATTTGGTTATCTGGTCCGACTCCTGTGCAAAATTACAATTTTTGTGCTTCCAAAAATGAATCTCTCTCTCTCTCTCTCTCTTTTTTTTTAATTTTTCCCCTTGGGGTTCATTTTGGTTGGTAAGGATTGAATGGCAGCTCTGTATCAATATTATACCCTCCTTAGTCTGCTCTTTGTCCAGTAACCTTTGTAAAGTCTGTAAGTAAGTCTCCCCTGTCTCAGGCTTGTAGCTGAGCAGCTGAGAAGCCTCCTAAATGTAGCTAAGCAGCTGTTGCTGTAGACATGGACAAAGCTGTAGATATGGAATCAACGTGCTGGAAAAAAAATCATGCTTCTCTTTGTCACTGACTGCATAGAGTTTGAGTGAAGTTTCTAAGGGTTGTTCATGAAGAGTTCTTCAATCCATCCTAYGTGCAAACTTCAGGTTTGCCATACTTCATATCACAAGTGCARCTCTTTCAGTGTTGTTTTGTTGTTGTTGTGCTTGCTTTTCTGCAAAAGGAATTAGTAAAAGAGACTGAGCAAAGGAGAAAGAAATGTAGTGTTTTCTGGAACAGTCTCTCTCCCTGATTGCTGCATCAGTGTCACTGTGATTATCAAATAATAGGTCTCCATAAAGCTGTGAGATTGTTTTCTTTCTATTTCCTACTCATTAATCCATACGACATAAATTCTTACTAGTSTTTGATGTTTGAATATAGTATAGTTTGAATATATTACTGAATTTATGCAAATCTGTTATGCACGTTCTTGGCATACTCCTGCTTAGGGTTTCCCAGCTTTTTGATGTGCAGTTGGAGTATTCTCGTCCACCTCAAGGCTGAGCCGTTTGCAGCACTTCAGCCTCTGCTGGCAGGTTACTGCTTTGGAAGCCTGTCTTCTGTATCCCTACCTAATTTTGAATCTTAAGAGGAACTGCAAAACCACATTGGTACAATATTAGTATGCTACAGTGGGTAGTGCCAGTACTGCTTTAATATGCCCTGATCTTGGAGCATCAGCATCATGCACAGATGGTTGGAAGCACCTCTTCCTTTGCTGCTTAACAGGCATTTCATGGAGGAGGTCAGTATTTCCAGAAGACAGAATTCCTGCAGTCACTGAAAGAATGGAATGTTCTATAATTGGCAAAACCAGCTGCCATCTTCTCTGATAAAAATCAATCACCAGGGCACACAGAGAAGGTGCCAATATTTAAAATGAGAATATAATTTTATAGTCCACAATAAAAAGATTGATTGTCAGATTCACCCCTTTTGTAGACAGAACTGTAGACAGCAAGCTCTGTGTTATTTTTCTCTTTTTGTGCTGTTTTTCTCTTTTCCTGTTATTTTTGTGCAGCTCTCAAAATTCAGCCTCATCTGTCCTCCTAGCTAAGTCTGCCTGCTGCCCAGGGAAGCACATGAACGATGCTCCGCRCGCAGGGGCCTGCTGAGGATTCTTTGTTTGCTGGCACTTGTGGGAAGTTCCTCCTAAAGTTCCTCCTGAAGCACTTGGGTTTCAGGAGCCGTTTCGTGCAGCAGTGCCGAAGGCCCTAGAGCAGATCCAGCTGCTTTACCTGAGGCGGTCACCTCCAGTGCAGAAGTCAACAGTGGTAGCCCTATCATTTCCCCCCAGATTTAAAGCAGCGAGGCTGGCATCTCAAGCTCCCTTCAAGTGATTTCCCCTTAGTAAGGGAAAGAGGCAACTCCCCAAAATAAATAGGAACCTTATTCTCAAGGCTTCTTTCCTTAGTTAGAGTTTTCTTTCGTTCTAGATAAATAAAGTAAAGCCTGTTGCACAGGTTAATAGATTCTCTTCACCTGATCTTACTCAATGATAATTCTACTAAGTAACTATTTTAGCTTGCTCAAACTACATTTTTATTTATTATTTCTGGAAATAAATCRTGACCTTTTAAATAAGCTTTTGAAGATCCATTTTCAGACAGTTAGCATTATCAAGTCTTTCAGGGAAAAAAAGTAAGGCTGAAGAGTTAGAGCTTGTAATAATGTTTCATGTTGCAAACCATAGCACTTCRAGTGTTTTTCTGGATAGATTTAAACTCTTAAACTTCTTGTGTTGCTGTTGCAGATAGATGGTGGCAGGTGMACAAGTTAGAAACATTTTGAATATTCTTGAAATTATGTTAAGTAAACACATACTTAAAAGTGATGGATTAAGGATGCCTCTGGTTAGTGACAAGACATTAAGATGTGACATAGAGCTTTTAATTAAGTCTGCATATCCAGTTTGAACCGCTTGTTAGGCACTTCAGGTTGATTTGAGTGAAAAGGGGAGTTTGTAGCACTTTATTTGTGTTTTTCCCTGGTTGGATGAAGAAAACAATTAGTACTTAATTTGCAGAGTTTTTTGATAACTTTCCTTCTAGTATGAAAGCTTCAGGACGGAAGAAGAGGAGAGAATCAAAGCGACGGGGCAGGACGTCAAACCCTCGGTGTACTTCATGAAGCAGACCATCAACAACGCCTGCGGAACCATCGGGCTCATCCACGCCATTGCAAACAACAGGGAGAAAATCAACTTTGGTAAAGGGTTCCCTTAACCTTGGGGAGAAGGGGAGGCAACGATAGGTTATGTGCAATTGCTCTGACTTTAAACACGTGTAAAGGCCAATTTCTGCTCATCATGCATTTTTACTGCTCGGTATGAGAACAGGCCTTCGTACTAATCAAAAAAMCAGGGCACTTGAGATATTGAATAATGCAGCCAATAGCAATTCCTCTTGTCTCTAATGTTTTAATTGTATCTCTAAATTTTTTTTGGATATAAGCATGCCGTAAGCTGCYAGTGGTATTAAAGCATGAATCAAGACTTTTGTCATGTAATGCTCAGCTTATTGAGGTGCAAAGAACATATAAGAAATTTATTAATGTTATGTCTTATTTTTATTTTTTTAAGAAACCAATTCATCATTGAAAAAGTTCCTGGAAGATTCGTTATCGATGACCCCTGAAGAGAGGGCCAAATATCTAGAAACATATGAAGTTAGTATCGTACTTTCTACTTTCGTATATATTTGTGCAGAAAATTTCTATATGGTTTAAAGAGCCTCTGGGACTTGATTCAATCAAGTATTTGGACAATCTAACTCTACATGGGGGGCCTGTGATCAGATAACTGCTGTGAGGAAAAAAACTGCTGTGGTAATTTAAGGGATTATTGCTCAGTCATCGTGACTTCAGATTTTCGATTTAATCTTATTGTGAGACCCTCAGGAACGAGGGTGATACCTTATGGCCCAAGGACATGATTTGTAACGGGAACTGTGGAGGATTGGAAGCATCTTGTGGCCATCACTTCTGCAGGTATGTCTGATCACAGCTTCTGCCTAAAGCAGCCTGTGTAATCCAGCCAGGAAATTGTATATAAACACTTGCCATTAGTGCTATCTGGGTGTTAAAAGTGCATTTTAGCTGTGTTAAAGCTGTTAGGTATTTGTTTTGGTTTGGATTTAATGACATTGAAATATTGCTCTCTTGACACCTTTGTAAGTGGAGATTATTTGTTGATGARTTTTTAAGAACCGTGAGTTTTGTAAAATGAAAAGCATGAAGTGATKCATTTAAAATCTCTCATTTAATGTCTGATTGAAATATGTTTTAATTTTAGGCTATTCGTGTCACTCATGAATCCAGTGCCCATGAAGGTCAAACTGAGGTAYTCATTTTTTAAGAACCTTTAATTAGCAACTGCTCTTAGCTGAATATAACTGTGGTGAAAGCAAGCAATTGTATGTAAAGATTCCCAGTAAAATGGGAATTACTGCTTTGTGTTCAATGCTGAGTTGTCAAAAATCAGGACTTGGAATCGAGTAGCCTTGAGCGGGGGGACTTGAAGCATGTGGGTCTCTCTTTTTCTTTTTAAAAGCTTTGTATAATGTAGATCRTTTCAAGCTTTATTTTGTAACAAAAGCGACAAAAATATTATTTTGAATGAAACCTGAGATTTTGATGTTACAAATCAGTAAATGGGACTGTAAGATCCATAGAGCAAAYGTTATCATAAATGACTGAAAAATTTTATTTCAGGAGAACAAATAGTTGAATACTTGGTTTGCTATTGTATATATGTTTGTATATATATATATTACTCAAGGTAAATTTCTACTAATGCATATATTCATAAGCTTCATCTGCAACATTGGATAATGCTGGTTTAAAATACATATGTGTGTGTGTGTTTAGATATATATTTTCAGATTGAGAAGGAAAGATGTTTACTGTGATGCATACTGTGAAATGTAATCAATATAAGATAACGCTCTAGATATATGATAAATCCATTACTGCTTTGTCTATAAAACCAGTCTGCTCTTTGCTCTGTGCTTTGTCCCATGTCAGTGAATTTAGGCACAGAGCCTCTGGATTGAGAGCGTTTTGGCATTTGGCAGGATCTGGATGGTGTCTTTATTTTCATGGAGCTAAATGGCAAGTGAAGACTTGCAGAAAAATGGGTTCGTAACTAACCTATGAAGTTTTAGGGAGAAGTTATACATACACACACACACACGCACACACACGTAAGTACTGTAGGTGAGCTTTGCTTTTTTCTTTATGACTTATGCTGTTGCCTGCACACTCCAGAGGAAAGCAGAGCAGAGCTTTGTGCTGTGATGAGTTGGCAGCAAGACCTTCGTCCGCGCAGGAGGGGTAGCTTCTATCTAAAGCATGATGCTTGCTGTGCACAATGGAGTGCATGAAACCTGGATGTGCTCCGCAGAGCTCTGGATGTGCTCCGTAGAGCTGGGGCTCTGGGTGAGGGCATGGTCCCTTTGAGCGTTGCTGAGTGTCTACCTGCACAGGAAAGGTGGAAGGGGCCACTAGGCAGCAGTGCTCTCTGTTACTGAGGTAACTGCAGGCCTGTGATGCAAGGAATGCAGAGCTAACCTGAAGGCCGAGCTGGTAGTGTCTGGCACCCTTGGAATGAGAGAGAAGATCCAAGGGCTTCCTTTGGGAACACTGGGAAAAGAAGCATCTGCCTTGCTGCATCTTTGCTGGGTTTTGCTCCTTTTTTTCCCTCACCCTAGAACGATGAGACCATTTTGTCCAGAAATCCTTCCCTTGAGTAACAGCAGAGTAACAGCTAGTTCCTTAGTGGCAGAGAGGGCCGTGGCTTACGGAGCAGGGTGTCTCCCAGGTGTCCAGCACAGCTAAGGGCCAAACACGAGGGGCTGCTCTTGGGCTCGGGTGCCCCCCAATGTCAGCCTGCTCTCCAAGGGCTTTGGCCTCTCACGTAGGTGCCATGCACTAATATCCAGGCAAATTCCCCTGAAAATGTTGTTTAAAGTCAGCAGGGTTAGGGCAGAACCCTGGAAGTAGCGTGTGGAGCAGCCAGGTGGGCTGGCTGGGTTGAGAGTCAGTGCAGCTGCCTTGGAGATGCTGCCTTCCTTCTTTCCCCTTGCCAAACACAGCATCGTGTGTTGATCTGCAGTGGCAGGAGATGAAAGTAAATTTTTCTGGAGTTTTGAGATGTGACAGGTTTAAAATAGCAAAGAACACGGACAGGTTTTCATCTGATAATGTTGTTTTKCTGTGCTTCAATTTCTGAGTTGATGCCGATTGTTTCATGACTCAGCATCTAATGCTGTAAGTAAAACCTGTATTTTTTGACTAGTCCTGACTAAATCTTCAAACTTTTTAAAAATCTTTTCAGTGGAATTGTGATTTTAAGATCTATTAGTGGATTTCCTGCTCTTAGTTCTGTTCCATGTATGTAGATATTTCAAACCTGGAAATAAATCAAGTCCACCTAAAAGTAAAAGGTTAAAAGTAATTCCAGTAAAATGGTTCCGTCCTTCCACTATATATGTACTTCAGATAATCATTTATCTGATTAGGACTCAGTTCTRTTTTAAAATAACGTATAATCAGGCCTATATATTAATTTTATCAAAAATGATACTAAAAATATATCTGACAGGAAATTATTCTGGCCTATTTTCATCCCCATGTCAGTTAGTGTCTCCTGGTAGAGGAGGCTTACAGTGTGGTTGATCACTGTGTGCGCTATTCAGATGAAAAGTTACATTGAATTGCTAAACAAAGGAACTGTAGAAATGTTCTGCCTCAGTGGATGCTTTGAGAAGCTTACCGAGTTCGTTCATTTGCCTAGCTTTAAAAGGGATGTGTTTGTATCCACTTTGTATAGTTCTTGCCAACAAAACTTTTTGCAGGCAAACTACAGACAGGATTACAGCTGAGTACCTTTTTTAATAGGAAGTRCCCTGACGTTTTGTTGAACTACTACATTTTTCTTAGGATTAGAACAGTCTTTTTGGTCTGTCAGAGATGATACTTTGAAGAAAAGTAGAATTTTTCATTGAATTAATTTTCTTCAGGTTTATAACTTAATCATTGTTAACATGAGTCAAATTTTAGGCTTCGTTTGATTCAAGTTCTTTAAGACTTCTGGAATCTGTAGCTTCATAACTACTACTCCTGTTGGAATAGAAGAAACAAACAGATAAAACAGGCTTAAAGCAGGTATTTTCATGTTAAGAAATGTAAATCTGTTTAAAGTTTATTTTAAGCAAGCCAATAGTAAGGTCTGTGATCATTCTGTTGGAGAAGCACTGTGTTGCTCTTAGAGCTCTGGGGTTTTTAGGGTGGTTTGAGGGGGCTGGTCCCATGTTCAGACACTCTGTGGGAGATAGAGAAAGTTCTATTTTCTGCAGCATCAAGTGTCAGGTGTTTCATATCCAAAGCAGCCCAAAAAACAAAGCTGGGTAAGTGCAATGGGAAAAGGGCAGGTTATTCCGCCAAAGACAGCGGACAGTGCTCTTGGGAAGAAAAGGGAAAACGTCCGTTATGTGCCAGATTGCCACCTTTTTAGCCTGTAGTTTCTTTTTGCTCTATGCTAGCCCCTGGAAGGCAGTACTGGTGAGGGTAGAAGAGCTGCCAGCTACTCGGGATCTTTCCCCTGAAGAGTCGTCATTCGTTTTTCATGGTCTTCTCCTGGCCTTGTCCTTTTTTATAATACCTGGGATAGTTGAGGAAAATCAAAAGTATTTGTTTTTTATKTTGTGGTGGTGGTGGTGTGGTGTTATTACTGTTGTGCCCCTAGAGAGTTCAGAACCTGTTGACAGTCTATCCTACCTCAAATCTTAGTTTCTCGTACACTCTCTTAAGAACTTCATTCAACAATAATAAAAAAGCAGTGCGGTCTGTGGATGCTGGACTGAGGGGATATTAACTTGTAGCAATCATTACTGAAAGCAAATTACAGCAAATTTGGGCAGGAGGGGAATAGTAATAACATTGTATGTTAATCAGGGCTAGGTAGATCTCAATCTCAGATTGGGTTTTGCCTGGACATTGATAGTAACTGTCTTCTTTTTTTCAAATAACAGGTCAGAAAATGTGAGGAGGAGTTGAGTGAGAGCAGGCAGCCGTTGCAGCAGAGTGAGGAATGATTTGCAGGTTTGCATCCATGTGCACAGCACCTAGACCATGGGCAGAGTTGGAGAAAAACGCTGAGTTTATATCCTGCCCCCTCCCTTTGATTCATAATTAGGGGTGACTTCAGAGCTTTCAGGGAGGGTGGAAGAGGAGGAGGAAACTGCAAAGTTACGTTACAGAAACAACCCAGTAGAAATTGTTTAAATTGCTTGCAGTGGCAGCCCGAGAACAGTAATTCCAGAGAGAAAATATTGCCTCTATGCGTTCTTAAAATACCTCATGCTTTTTAGTGCTGAACTGTAGTAATATGAGTAGTGAGATGTGTTTGTCCTGCTCTTACAGTTGCAAAGTAGCTGTGGATGTYAGTGAGATGCTTCCTGGCAGCTCAAGTCTACACTATAGAAAGAGGAAAGTTATACCATGTAAAGCACTTCTTAAGAGACTAATTTGCCTTTAGTTTAGGAAGTCTGTCTAGAGAATAGTCTGTTCTTGCTCTCTGCATTAGTAAAGGCTTGGAGATGTTTAGCTCGTGTCCGTGTGGGTAACAGTGCTTGAAGTTTTAGCAGGCCCTGCGCCTCTGCGGCAGCTTAAGTCAGTCTGCTCTGGAGTTTTACGGTAGCTAAAATATTTTTTTTGTCCTCCACCAACTTCCTGAAACAGTTCTTCCCATGGTCTCACAGGAGCCCTTGCTGACACGGAGGTGTTGGGAGCACATTTCTGGGAAAACAGGAAAGGAAACTTAATAGCCCAGCCTTGGATCAGCGTTTGCTGTTGGGACCAGCAGAGACCCCAGTGCTTGTGGTGCCGGGTAGCTGGGAAGAGGCCGTGCTGTGCGATGTCGGGTAGTGCTGGCTGCTCACGCAGGGTGCTCTGTGTCCCTGCTTGCTGCAGGGCTCATGTGGGGTAGCCGGCTGTTCTGGGGTCTTGTGGCACGTGGGGCATAAGGAAACACCTCTGCATTTGAGGCTGGCATTTTGGGGATGGCAGTTTCGGCCTGGATTATACATGAACATTTAGCAGACTGTGGTCTGTAGTCTGCGTCTCTAGGACGTGTACGTCTTTAAATGTTACTGCAGTGTGGCTCAAAATAAATCTAATAATTCAACCAACCCACAGCACACAAGCTAAATGGCCCCTTGAAATACCTGTGTATTTGCTACTGGTTAGGATGTAATAAGACCCTATTTTGATGCCACAAATTCTTAAGTGAAGACTAGGAGCTCTGCTTTTAGGAGATTTCCATTTTTCTTTTCCTTCCTT